TCCATTTTGTGTGCCATATAGAACAGTAGTGTTTTCTAGTGGAGATTATAACCTTTTTCATTCTCCTCATCTGGCTTGTTCAGTGTATAGTTGGAAAAATAATGCCTGGGTTTAGGATTTAGTTAAGACTTATGGCATGGTAGGTACATAAGAAAATACTACAATGAAATCCCCTTACATTTACAATTAGTATATAGTCATAAATATGGTAAGGAAGAACTTCTAGCTAGCAAGGGAATGAAACTAGGACGAGATGCTTAGATTGTTTTCTTAATCTCATTAGAGTGCTCAGTAACAACAGTGAGATGGGTCAGTCAGGACTTGGAGGTTCAAGTCTTTCTCTGTCCAGAATCTGGGTACAGATCAAATGACCTGGTTCCTGCGTTCGAACACAATTTAATACTCTTCTTCTTTCCTTCCCCATCCTCCCCCTTGTGCTTAATTTGCACTTCCAATTTTCAGAGTCTATAATGTGCAAACGGGCTTTCCTCCCACTGAAAAACACCTGTAGAGGTGAGATTGTTCTCCTCCAGGAAAGATGACCTCTGGGTTTTGCCTATGGCTGGAGGGCTTGTGAGGTAGGTGTGAAAAAACCTCCTCCTTCTCCTCTGCAGTGGGCTGGGGTGCCATAAGCAGCTCTTCTGCTAATTTTGGAAGGAGAGGGAGACACCCAGTCACTTTAAGAGGAAAGGAGTTTTCAGGCATGAGCCCATGTTCAGAGCCTGCTCCCTCCTCCTCCTCCTCCTCCTCCTCCTCCTCCTCCTCCTCCTCCTCCTCCTCCTCCTCCTCCTCCTCCACCTCCTCCTCCTCCTCCTCCTCCTCCTCCTCCTCCTCCTCCTCCTCCTCCTCCTCCTCCTCCTCCTCCTCCTCCTCCTCCTCCTCCTCCTCCTCCTCCTCCTCCTCCTCCTCCTCCTCCTCCTCCTCTCCTCCTCCTCCTCCTCCTCCTCCTCCTCCTCCTCCTCCTCCTCCTCCTCCTCCTCCTCCTCCTCCTCCTCCTCCTCCTCCTCCTCCTCCTCCTCCTCCTCCTCCTCCTCCTCCTCCTCCTCCTCCTCCTCCTCCTCCTCCTCCTCCTCCTCCTCCTCCTCCTCCTCCTCCTCCTCCTCCTCCTCCTCCTCCTCCTCCTCCTCCTCCTCCTCCTCCTCCTCCTCCTCCTCCTCCCTCCTCCTCCTCCTCCTCCTCCTCCTCCTCCTCCTCCTCCTCCTCCTCCTCCTCCTCCTCCTCCTCCTCCTCCTCCTCCTCCTCCTCCTCCTCCTCCTCCTCCTCCTCCTCCTCCTCCTCCTCCTCCTCCTCCTCCTCCTCCTCCTCCTCCTCCTCCTCCTCCTCCTCCTCCTCCTCCTCCTCCTCCTCCTCCTCTCCTCCTCCTCCTCCTCCTCCTCCTCCTCCTCCTCCTCCTCCTCCTCCTCCTCCTCCTCCTCCTCCTCCTCCTCCTCCTCCTCCTCCTCCTCCTCCTCCTCCTCCTCCTCCTCCTCCTCCTCCTCCTCCTCCTCCTCCTCCTCCTCCTCCTCCTCCTCCTCCTCCTCCTCCTCCTCCTCCTCCTCCTCCTCCTCCTCCTCCTCCTCCTCCTCCTCCTCCTCCTCCTCCTCCTCCTCCTCCTCCTCCTCCTCCTCCTCCTCCTCCTCCTCCTCCTCCTCCTCCTCCTCCTCCTCCTCCTCCTCCTCCTCCTCCTCCTCCTCCTCCTCCTCCTCCTCCTCCTCCCTTTTCTTATATAACCCTCTTGGTCATCATTGTTCTTGGCCACATAGTGGTTCTTCTTATCCAGGATGGTAGAAGACATATCGAGAAGGAAGGAAGGAAAAGTCCAGACAGGGAGTGGTGCCTGAATGTATAACCAGTTTTGGGGGAGATAGCCCCCAAGATTTTGAGGAACAAACAAGAAAAGGAGGGGGGAAAAGAAGAAGAGGAAAAGGAGGGGGAAGGGGTAGGGGAGCCAGCAGCATACCAGTTTAAGCAGGAGACAAAGAGTTTACAGAGCCTATCACTAAGTAATTGGTGGAGGAAGGCTAAGTAATGCTCTTGGTGTCTTCCTTCCTTAGGGGGAATTACACTACATCTAAATTAAAGGTAACTAGATCTCCATAGTTTACAACTGCACCTCTGTGATTTCTGGTGGTTTCCATGCAGTTATCAAAGAAAAGCGTGATCTTCAGAGGAACTTTTTATTGTGGCCTGAGAAATTACACGAGCTCATGTCTACTTATTAAAATTCATCATCTTCGTGGCTGTATTTTCAAGCCACAGTGACTTCATGGGCCAAGTGAAAAATTTTGTATCCCTTTAGAAAACTGAGGTTAGCACAACCAAATCCGCAGAAAATTATCTTTGACTCGTAGATGTTATTTCTACATTACTCTTTCCCTAAGAAAATAATGAGACTTGAGTTTGACAGTTTAGAATAAGAGCCAACACCTGCCTGTTGCTTTCATGGTCCCAAGAACTGTTTTAGGTGTTTTATGTGTATGAGTCATTTAATCCCCAGAAAAGCTCTATGAGATGAGTTGGTACTAAACTCCTACTTAACAGACTGGGAAATTGAAGATGGGTGAGATTAAGTAATGTGTCAGGGCTCAAAATGGACTGTGGATCTAGCCAGCTAACTTAGAGCTCACTTAGGAAGCAGCATCTGTCCCAGCCTCCACTTCTCCCCAAAGGTCAGTGGGATCAGCTAGCTTGGGCTTGTGCCTGTGATACTGGGCAGAATTCAGATCACGGTGTAGTGGAGGTACGAGGTCTACCTGGGCACTGAGCATGCATGAGGAAACTTAGTTTCTATTAAGTATAAGTTGTACCCTAGAGTGAGGTATTGTTATTTTCTAGATGGGGAAACTGGGGTGCAGAATGAGGCAGAACACAGCTAAGAAGAGACAGAACAGCAAAAAGGGCCCATGTCTGTTTTTCAGCAGTTGGCTATAACAAATCTGAGATATTTGCTTCTGTAATGCAAACAGAACTCACCACCTTTAGGGGTGGGATGAGGTCACGTGGGATGGGGCTTGTGTGTTCCTTTGAATCAAGTGATGCAGAAGATCAGTTGCAGCTCTCTTCCATCCGGGTTCTTTCTAGAAATGAAGCAGGTGGTGCTTCCAGCGAAGGCCCTAAAAGGGATTTTTCTCTGAAGTATCCAACCCATTCTGCCATCTTGGCATTCTGCCATGGATGTGTTTCCTGAAATAAAAAGGCTTGGCTTTGTTTTTTGTAGCTTGTAATAGAACTTGCTTTAATTTTCTCAGTGTTTCAAGATTGTATTTGTTCATTGCATATCTAGTGGGTATTGTAATAAGTTTAAATGTGGTATTAGAACATATCAAAAAATGCATATTATCAAAGAGAGGAATAAGGTAAATCCATGTGACCAAATGGCTGCTAAAGGCATTTTAAGTTACTCAGTGTACCCTCTCAGTTCTTAGAGATCTGAATCTCCTTTCCTCTTCCCCCTGTGTTTTGGCATGACATTGACCTCCTGCTCAAGCCTAGCAGAATGCTTGTCCTTTTCAATACACAAACCTGTCAGGATATGCCTTTGCCTAACTCAATCTACCCACAGGATTTCCCTTACCCTGTGAAATCACTCTTCATTTTCAGAGCTTGGTTCAAGTTTGGCACCACTGTTAAGCTTTTCTCACCGGGCTCACCCCAACCCATAATACTAACCACTGTCTTTTCTTGTGTCCTCACTATATCCTGAAGATAACTCTAACACAGCACCAATAATACCTCAAAGATCACGAAGTAGTCACCATGATATTACTGATTTTCACTGAATACTTGACATGTACTAGGCATTATGAGACTAAAAAATCTATTTCCCAAATGTCATATGATTCTTAACAACTACCCTTTTGGTACTGCTCTCTGGGCAATATACCATGTTTCTTTCATGATAAGAGAAACAGCTCAACATGATCAAATGACTTCTTCCAGTTCAATGCCGTGTTTCTGTTTATGAAAGTGTGAATTTCTGAGAGTAAGACTGCCTAACTTGTACCAGAGCTCAACTGGGTGTGGCAACAGCCAAGCCTGGTTTCCATTCATGTCTGTGGACTTTAACAGAGGCTGGACTAAGTAATGAGATGCTCTTACTAGTAGAGAAAAGCATACAAACTCTGACCCCATAACTAGACAGAAAGTACAGGGTGCATTATTCTTGGCATTTTTAGCATAGTATGCCAGGAAGCAATCAATATTAATTGAGTATGAATGAATGAATGATGAATGGAACCACACTTTTTTTTTTTGTCAGTCGTGGGCCTGAACTCTGGGTCTGGGAGCTGTCCCTGAGCTCTTCAGCTCAAAGCTTGCACTCTACCATGTGAGCCACAGTGCCACTTCTGGCCTTTTCTGTTTATGTGGTGCTGAGGAATCAAATCCAGGGCTTCATGTATGCAAGGCAAGCACTGAGCCACCTTCCCAGCTCCCACTCTCTCTCTCTCTCTCTCTCTCTCTCTCTCTCTCTCTCTCTCTCTCTCTCTCTCTCTCTCTCTCTCTTTAGATGAGGTCTCTGTATTAAGCCTAGGTTGACTTCAAACCTGTCATCCTCCTGCTTCAGATTCTTGGGTAGCTAAGATTATGAATGTGCACCTGTATGTCCAGCTCTTATTATTCTTATGTGTATTCTGTATTCAGAACATGGAGAAAACATGGATGCTCTTAATAGTAGAAATCTAAAGGGGGATGTTGGGCTTTTGTCAGTTCAGTTTAGAGAGCCAGTGTGGGGCTGGAGGCCACCTATGCTAAGAAAATTATGGGCATAGGCTGATGCACTGAAGGCTGATGCCTTCTGTGACATCCTGTGTGCTGTCTATGCTGCCAAACTGGGCAAAGACTTCCCTCATTCAGCCACTATCAGGAAAACTGTAACGTGGCTCTTGATAGTTACCCTTCCGTATGCCTCTGCCCTTTCTCATGGACCTGCAGTCTCACTTTGATCATTTTACTTACGTATATTGTGAGGAAAGGTGGGTTTTGTAGTGCTTGGGCTCACCCAACTGGGGTTTCCTTTGCAGGTTAACATGTTCGTTGAAGGGTTCCATGACGCTATCCTTCTCTACGTCCTGGCTTTACATGAAGTACTCAGAGCTGGTTACAGCAAGAAAGATGGAGGGAAAATTATCCAGCAGACTTGGAACCGGACATTTGAAGGTAGGGATTTTTTCTACACAGTGGCCACTGGGGCCGACTGAAAGGCTGTTTCTGTGGCTCTCTGTTGCCAGTGGGAATGCTTCTAATGTCTTCCCCTTCCCCCCCCCCCCAGTTTTAAAGTATGGATGGTAACTCTTGGGCATCTACCCAAAGCATTACAAGTCAGGATATGGTAAAGATACTTGTACATCCATGTTCATTGCTACACTATTCACAATAGCCAAATTATGGAAATACCTCAATTACCCCTCAACAAATGAGTGGACCACACACACACAGACACACAGACACACACACACACACACACACACACACACACAATGGAATTTTATTCATCCATTAGAAAGGATAATATTATGTCATTTTCAGGGAGATGGACAAGCCTAGAACAAACCATGCTTAGTGAGGTGAGCACAGTTTAGAGAGATATATGGCACATGTTTTCTCCATATGTCAAAGCCAGATATAAAATATAATTGGACATGATAATCTATGCAAGATTGTAAGCATTCACACACAAACAGACTGAAAGGAAGATACCCTTAGGGAAGGAATCCAAAGGGGTAACTCCTCTGAATATTAAAATACTATTTATTGAAATAAACTCCAGGAAATGGAAACATGTATTCTGTTGTTGTTGTTATTGTTGATGGTGGTGATTGGGAGTATTTCATTTTGCTTTGGAATTTTTTCTTTTAAGGGAGACAAATGGGGGGTGAAGGGAGATGAAGAAAGGGAGGGAAGAAGGGTGAACTAAGACAATCATGCTATTCAGTATACACTATGTGATAAATGACCTATGTAACTCGTGGGCAGGAGGAGACGAGGAAAGCAAAGGAAGGGGTGACATTGTCCAAAAAAGAAACATATTCATTACCTGACTTATGAAATGGTAACCCTTCTGTACATCACTTGAATAATAACAGTAAAATTATATTTAAAAATAAAATTATTTATATTTTATATTTATATTGAATATTTATGATTAAAAAGTAACATTATACTTAATATATTGGGATCTGGAATTTTACCCTGTTAAATGGTTTGAATAATGATGTGGTTTTAATGCTTTATTATCTGTTGTTCTTCATTAAAATAAGCCTTTTTAGTGGTTAAAAATTACACTTAAACGGCTCATTCATCACATAATAATCAGTATGTTTAAAAGTTCTGCCATCAGGTTTAAAAAAATATTAGTCTCAGATATACATTCTTCTGCTCAGACTATTGATTTTTGTAAAACTCAGAAGACATCTGCAGTAGTGGTTAAACCTAGTAGCTCAAGAAGGTTAGCAGGTCTAGTTGGACCCTTTGCTTTTATTTGAATTTTATTCATCCATTCTATCTCCCTATCATCTATCTATGTTTTCTTTTTGAGACAGGATATCAGTATGTAGGAGTGGGACTGCTGGTTTAGACTGCTGACCTAGAACTCACAATCCTTCTGCTTCAGTCTCCTGAGTTCTGAGATTACAGGAGTTTGCCATTTTTCCCAGCACCCTTATTTGATTTGAAATGGTGAATATAGTTGTTTGAGGAACAGAGAAGTATTAGAACAACAACAAAAGGCCTATCATCTCATCCCACACAAGCAAGAATGAGACCATTTCTTGGCTAGAAAATTTAAATAGTTTAAAAATACATAACATGAAAAGAGAAAGAGTACCTTCCTTCCTAGTCTCCTTTTCCCTAATATAATCACTATTAACAATTTTCCCTGTGATTTCAACTAAAAATATCCTATGCTTTCTGCCAGTACATATGCAGAGTCCCTCCCCTCCCCCCACCTTTTTTGGTCTTGAGGCTAGTATTTTGGGTCTTGTACATGCTAGGCAAGTGAGCTCTATTACTAAGTTATATCCCCAGCCCTTGGCCTTTTGAACAAGATGTCACTATGTAAGCCAGAATGGTGTTGAAGTCCCCAGCCTCTCATCTATGCCTCCTGGGTGCTGGGATTATAGATATGCACTACCATACCTGGCTACAAATGCATTTTTTGGTCAGTTGGGTCTTGAACTCTGGGCCTGGGCACTGTCCCAGAGCTCTTCAGATCAAGGCTAGCGCTCTACCACTTGAGCCACAGTGCCACTTCCAGTTTTCTCATGGTTAATAGGATACAAGAGTCTCATGAATGCTCCTGCCCAGGCTGGCTTTGAATCACAACCCTCAAATCTCAGCCTCCTGAGTAGCTAGGATTTCAGGCGTAAGCCACCAGTGCCCAGCACAAAAGCATTTTTATATGGTCTCTAAAACTTAGAAGAGTCATACTATGAATATCATGTTTCATTTTAGGGTTTTTTTGGTATGGTGTATAAAAGATTTTTCTGTATGAATACTCATAGACCTAACTCATTTTTAAATGAATTAAATATTATGCTACCTTATGGTTGTATAGGAAATTCTTTAATCTTTGATTACAAAATACTTCAATTTACAGTTTTTGCTCTTACACAGTATTCAGTCACAGTATTTTGCACATCCTGAAAAGGTTTTGTGAGTATTTCCAACAGGAACATTCCTAGTGGTAAGATTTTCTGGCCCCAAAGTAGATTAGTATGTTTTAAAGCAAACCAGATATTGCCCGTTATCTTCTAGAAAGGTATGCTAGTCTATGTTTTTGCCAAAAATGTATATCAGAATTCTTGTTTCGTCTCACTCTACCAACACTCAGAATGTACATGGGACTTGATATGGGAAGAATTCAATTCCTTGCAGATAACAACTTTCTATACATTAATGCATTGTTCAGCAAATATTTATAAAGTGCCTATCCTATGCCAGGCATGGATCAAGTAGCTGAGGCTCCAGAAGTTCCCTGTGATCAGCATAACTTGCATGCAAAGGGGGAGAACAGCTCACAAATACATATTTACCATAGTTACAGCCTATCGGGCTATTATATGGAGCAGAGGAGGGAGATAGAAAGTGTGGTGGAAGGGAGTGGGGCTAGTGGTGTAAGAGTGAGCAGGGAAAGTCTCTCTGAGAGTGGTAGTTGAGTATAGATCTGAATGGGGTGGGGAGAACTAGGGAGACATTTAGGGACCAGCCCTAAGAGAGCAGCTCACAGAGAACCTGAGCCACATGTGGCAAGAGAGTGCTCCCCTGAGAGCTGGGACATCTGTGTGGCTGATGCCTGAGTCGGAAGAGTAGCATGAAGGGAGCCCATGCCAGAGAGGCAATGGGAGGGAACCAGATCCGTGGGCCTGGAAGGGTTACTGAAGAATTAGGCTCCACTTGAATGAGATGGATAGAAAACCACTAGGGGCGTTCTGAGGGACACCATCTGGCGAGCGGCTGTCCTAAGGAAGACAAACTGCCCTGCACTGATGACCTCCATTTGAGAACTATTAATGCAGAATGCAGATGGTAGCATCAAAGATCAGGAACCTTATTCCAGCCACTAACTCATAACCTCAGCCCTCTCAGTTTCTTTTTCTCCTTTTCTATAAGGAGGCTGAACTAGTTGGTGACCCTCTCAGTTCTGCATTGATTGAAGTCTTCCTGGGATGGGGGTGGGTGGGTGGTAGTCTTGTATTTATTTTAATCACACTGGTGAAAATCTTCAATGACAAGAACAAGTATACCCAGTTTTGATTTGGGGTACATTTTTTTTTAAATCTCATCATACTCTTTGCTGCCTCAGGTTGCTTTCTGTTACTAGAAAGGGCAGGACATCAAGGGGAACGTAGCTCTAGGTAGGGTCACCTGGGTTGGAGCTGCTGGTAGATTTCATTTTTCCTTGGTGGTTTCAATGGGTGCCATGTCTTCCTCCCAACAAGAATGCCATCTCCTTTGACTTTAGACAGAGTAGGATGTGGATGAGTAACCTCTAGGATGCTCTTGATTTACTTTAGGTCTGACTGTTTCTGCTGAGGAAGTAGAACCAAATGGGGTAGCTCAGGGGGCATATTAGGACAAAGTCAAAACTTCCCAGAAGTTGTGCACAATGCACTGAGAACCTGGTATGTGGGGACACAACCTTGGTCGGCCACATCCCATTCTTAGCTATTACTCATTACATGGTGTGGTCATTTGTTCTTGGTCTTCTGACAGAAGGACAGAAGCCAGAGTTGGGGGGAGGAGGTGCTGGAGGGCAACATGGTGGGAGGTTGTTAATGGAAGGGCAGGTGCCCACAAGGATTGGCATGTAGTTTTGCTTAGAGTCAAGGCGCAGACTATTCTCATTGGCCATCTTGATGTTTCCATGCTGGGGCCAAGTCTACACAGTTGATTTGAAGTGAGTTCTGAAACACTCAGCTGTATAGCTTAGTCCACAGTTAAAAGTCTTATTTGTTCAAATGTAAAGACAATTGAAGCCAAGTTTTGGGGTTGAGTGCTTTGGAGGGCCCATTTTATTTGTTAAGCCATGATCCATTTAAGGGTAGCCCCAAAAAGAGCTTGAAGGTATGTGCCTGAAGAAAAACTCTAAGCTTCCTAAAATTAAAAACAATTTTTAATTTAAGTGGTCACTGTAAGTGGCCATTAAGTTGTCAAGGGAAAAATACTCGGGATGTTATTTGACAAATTTGGATTTTTATTGCTATGAACCCTGTGATCAACTCTCAAGACTTAGAATAAATGGCCTCGGAAGAAGCTGAGTTTCCTGTGCATGAGAGGTCAGAGGGACGATGCAAACAGGACTAAGGCACAAGCCTTGATTTCCACTACAGTCAAAAAAAAAATGGATGTGGAAGGTCTCGTTACTTAGGGACAGGAAAATTTTGCTCCCAACCTGACAATCTCACCTTCTGCCAGATACTCTCAGATGAAGTTTCACTTTGCTAATTGGAAAATGAATATTCTCACCCTATTTCTTGGCAGAATGGCAATAACTTCAAGGTGTAATGAGGCCTTGGATTACTAGGATTGTCTTGTCTTATAAAATACACTGAAAAACACCCAGCAAGGTACAACATCACAAATCCCTCTGAATAGAAGTACAAGTGGTTTGGGGTCATCAGTATGTTTGGGGATAAATAAATATATGTTTGTATGAATCAAAAATAGAAGTTTCACAGACTATCAAGGATGGACAAGATGGTGATGGGGTTTTATATCCTTTGTGACTAGACTATATTAAGAAAACAAAAAATGAAGGTGAGTGGTAGTCCCATTCTGTTTCCAAATAGAAAACCCAAGTCTGGAAAAATCAGTGGCCCTTCAAACCACAACCCAAAGGACAGTAAACCCAAATACCTATCCTTTCCAAACCAAACTCGAGGATGGAACTTTCCCTTGGGATGCTTCTCCTCAGACTGAGAGACTCAGGACTTCTGGAGAGAATCAGATCAATAGAAGCCACAATTAAATCTTACTCCAAACTCTCCCTCAAAGAAATTGAATAGCTTTAGTTAATTAAAAAATGACTGATGTATGCATTCATCCACTTAGTGAATGAAACTGAAAACACTAACATATTTAAGATCAGTCAGTGGATACATGGTTTCTTTTGTTGATTAGTTGCTCTAAGCCTCCATTGCTGGCCAAAGCCAGTGGATCTCAAGGCTTACCATGGTCTGTCCACTCTGTTCCAACCATATATCCTACTGCTCCTTTCATGCACCTGAGCCTTCTCTCCAAGAACCTCACAGTTCCTCTGATTCTTTTTGGACTCTGTTCTGCTATAAATACAACTAAACCAGTCTGCTTACACTTTTGATTGCTGCTTATCTGAATCATAGATTTCCTCCAATGTACCTAACAGATCTTGGCTTTTTTTACTCAGTTCCCCCTTGATTACTCAAAAATAAAGAGAGGCTGAGTATTCCCAAGTCCCTAACACCAAACATCCAAAACATGAAATATTCCAAAATCTGACACATTTTTGTTGTTGTTGTTTGTGGGGTCTGAACTCTGGGCCTGGGCGCTGTCCCTCAGCTCTTCAGCTCAAGGCTAGCGCTCTACCACTTGAGCCACAGCGCCATTTCCAGCCTTTTCTGCTTATGTGGTGTTGAGGAATCAAACCCAGGGCCTCCTGCATGCAAGGCAAGCACTCTACCCACTGAGCCACCTTCCCAGTCCCAATCTGAGACTTTTTGAATGCTGTAATCACATAAGTGGAAAATTCTTTCCCATGAAAGCTTGTTTCCTGCCAGGAATTGTTTAAAATTATCTTCCAGCTTTGTATACATGCATGGTATATGAATACATAAATGAATTTTGTGTTTTGACTTGGATCCCTCCCCTCTGATACTTCATTATACGTATGTAAATATTCCAAATTCTGAAAAAATCTGAAATCCAAATCATTTCTGGTTCTAATATTTTGGATCAAGGTTGCTCAATATCTTTTAGTAATAATAATCATACTGGTAGCAGTAGTAGTAGTAGTAGTAGCAATAATAATAATAATATAGAAAAGGAGGAAAGCAACTAACTTACTGGCTTTATCTCATGTCATTATCTCTCCAGCTTCTCAGTGGAGGAGTAGGATCCCTGTTTTACTGTTGTTCAGGATGAGACTTAGAGGACTAAGTTTACTCCCCAAAACTGTAGAGGTAGAAAATGTCAAACCGGGATTCAGTTCAAGCTGTCAGAATCCACTGTAAACTAGCTAAAATCCCAAGTTTGGGCTCCTCTTCTCCTAAGCAGAGAATGTGTCCAATTTATCTTATTCTCCAGCACTAATTCACCACCCAGTAACCTTCCAATAACACGAGTAGGCAGCACATGCACACATTTGGGATCAAGTCACATCAGTCTTCTTCAGCTATTGCCTTGATGATGCATGAAGTGCTTAAGTACTCTCCTGTGTGTAAAAGCAGTCATATGGTCGGGCACTGGTGGCTCACACCTATAATCCTAGCTACTCAGGAGGCTGAGATCTAAGGATTGTGGTTTGAAGCCAACCTCAGCAGAAGAGTCCCTGTGAGGCTCATCTCCAATTAACCACTCAAAAACCAGAAGTGAAAAAAGTGATGCTGTAACTCAAGTGGTAGAGCACTAGCCTTGATCACAAAGAGGCTCAGGCACAGAGCCCAGGCCCTGAGTTCAAGCCCCACAACTGACAAAAAAGCAGTCATATGAAGTGCACTCAATGAATACTGAGGCTGCACTGATTGCACTGATTTTTCTTGTGTAATATTACCCCACTGACAACAGGAAGCCGTGACGAAAGCACCTCCACTTTGCCCTGCCTACTTTTCATAAAAATTATTTCAGATCTTAGGACTAAGAATCGCACTTTCAGAATTCTCCTTAATCTTAAAAAAAGAATATATTACCCAAAGAAGGTCTTTTATTCATCTTTCTTTTCATTTTTTAAATGGAGCAATGTGAAGAATTTAGGAATGCAGACACAGATGAAGTTACAATGGCTTTCCAGATGCCAACAGAAATGCTCAAGGTCTGATGCTATTCCCTGAGGCATGAGTTTATTTGAAAAAAAAAAAGGTCTTATCAATTCATGTCCTTGTTTTGCTTGGCAGACAGAGGCATCTTAAGGGAGTAACTTGGAGTTTTTTTTTATCTCTTGTCCTGTAGGTATTGCTGGGCAAGTGTCCATTGATGCCAATGGAGACAGATATGGGGACTTTTCTGTGATTGCCATGACTGACACGGAAGCAGGGACCCAGGAGGTAAGCCAATGAGAATTCTGCCCCAGTCACTTCTGCGAGTCAGCATGCATTTGTTCGAGTGTCCAAAGACCGTCCCCAAAGTAGTCACCAGATAAAGCTCAGTTTGAAATCCTGAGAGTCTACAAGTAGGGAGAACTCACTGCTGCCTTGAGGATGTTGGGAAGATATCAGGAAATAGCTCCACATGGATGCTCAGTGCAGAAATCCTATCTTACAAGTGGCCATGCATTATTCCTCCACCCAACAGAGCAGGGCACTGTATGAAAAGAAAAGCAAAACTGTATTTCCCCCTTAAATTCTTGGGACATCTCTTTTTGTTGGTTGGTTACAGACTCTACATGTGTTACTTTTTCAAAACAGGGCATAGGCCAGGGATATGGTTCACACTGGTAATCCCTTGGGAAGCTAAAATAGGATCGCAAGTCTGAGGTCAGCCTGGGCTACGTTGAAGACCCTGTCTCTGAACAACAAAACAAAAAATGAAGTGAACATGATGTAGTTACAAGATATCATCATACATATAACAAAGATAATACCATAGATGTAAAGAAGAGTCTCTCTTATTTACTGAGGGCATGAGCTTTCTGTCTCAGTCATATCTGTCTTGCTAGTGTCACCTGACCTGGTACAATGAAACCTAGAAAGGTTCTGTAGAAACTCTAAATGTGTATGTATTAAGCAAATGTGCTAGGTTTCTGCTGAAATTGATTTCAACAGATAAGACCACTACTTATATGTTTCTTGATGTCTTCTACCCAGTCATTGCCTTGGTATGAAACTTACTGTTTTTCTCTTCTCAGTGCTCTGTGTCTTATCCATAGTCCAATTTCTCCATTTGGAGAAGGAAGAAAGTTTTAGTACACTTTAACCCATCCTGAGGTTATAGGTGTGAAAAATACTTAGTGTGTGTTCAGTATATGTAGCAATTGTCATACTTGGGTGAGGACCTAGAATTCTTTTTAATATGATCCAACACAGCCTGTGAGAAGCTGCTGGGCCTTGGTCTAGAGAGAAATGAGAGACATCATAGCTATCCAGGAGCCAGATACTTGTGCCTAGGCAAAAGAGAAATCCTAAGACCCAGAGTAGGGAGGAGCTCCCAGATCCAGGCCCAGGTATCTGATCCAACAGTCATCTTAACCAAAAACTGAGGTTTGGAACTACACCAGGAAAGAATAATGATATTCTAGGGGCATGAGAACCGATTAAAGCACAATTCAACCTGATAATGGAGGAGCAAAAAGGATGAAATCATCAGAAGAGACTGTAACCCCAAAAGGAATAGCCTCTCTACCAGAAGAGGGCCAAACAGGAAGTTCCTAAAATATAATCTCTGGTGCCCTAATTGTGTGTGTGTGTGTGTGTGTGTGTGTGTGTGTGTGTGTGTGTGTGTGTGTGCTCACATGCATCCATGAGAGAGAGAGAGAGAGAGAGAGAATGTGTATGTGTACCATCCCTGAGCTTTTTTATTTTTGCTCAAGGCTGGCACGCTACCATCTGCTCTGCACCACAGCTCCACTTCCAGCTTCTGGATAGTTAATTGGAGATAAGAGTGTCATGGAGCCAGGAGCCCATGGCTCACACCTGTAATCCCAACTACTCAGGAGGCTGAGACTTGACAAACATGGTTTGAAGCTAGCCTGGGCACAAAAGTTCCTTTGAAACTCTTATCTCCAATTAGCCATCAGAAAACTGGAATAGTGCTGTTGGCTCAAAGTGGTAGATGTGTTAGCCTTGAATAAAAAAGCTCAGGGACAGCCCCCAGGCGCTGATTTCAAGCCCCATGACCGACTCTCTCACCCCACCCCCTAAAAAAGTATCATGGACTTTTTTGCTCAGGCTAGCTTCAAAGTGGAATCCTCAGATCCCAGCCTACTGAGTAATGAGGATGACAGGCGTGAGCCACTAGCACCCAGCTCTAGTACCTTAATTCTATGTCATATTAAATGAGCAAGGAGAGGCCATGTAACTGTCAGGTGCTTAACCTGGGTCTTCAGTGGCTCAGACTTCCTGAGTGCAGCTCTGAGGGCGACGTTGACATTTCTGTTAGCTGATCATGTGGTTGCTCTCTGGCGATGACTGGTGTGGAGTGGGAGGCCCTAGCTGATGAGCCCGAATAAAAGCCATAAATGTCAACATCATTTTCATAGGGAAATAAGAAATCTTTCCTTCCTACTAAGAAGTCGTGACTAAGGAATATCCAGGGTTCACTGGTGGGGCTGGGCCTGCAGTGTGGCCACGCCCCTGGTTGTACCCCTTCTCCACATCCATATCCTTCTGAGCCTAAAGGACTGCTTTCCCTCTGGGGTGGGGGGTAGGGGAAGGGGAAATCCTCCGTCAGTCATCGCCATGCTGGCAGCAGCATTAGTCATCTTGAATGTTGCGGGACTAAGTTATCAGGAGCACCATACTGCAGTCAGTCACAGTGCACAGGGAAGCCTGGCACCCGCCCCCCCCCCCTTGCCATTGCCTGGGGGAGCTGACAGGATGAATAGCAGCCCCAGTCCCTCAGAGGCAGCTTAGAGATCTGGCCATGCATTTTAGGAGGCAGTGGTACAAGGCTGTGAGCTCTGTGCCTCCTTTAGAAGCTGATTAACTTTGGCATTCCTTTAGTAAGGTCGGTTTTTGGCTTTCCTGTAGGTTATTGGTGATTATTTTGGAAAAGAAGGTCGTTTTGAGATGCGGCCGAATGTGAAATACCCGTGGGGCCCTTTGAAGCTGCGAATAGACGAAAGCAGAGTCGTGGAGCATACCAGCAGCAATCCCTGCAAATCATGTAAGTTCAGAGACATAACTTGCTGGGGGTCAGTCTCAGAGCCATGGGAGTCTAGGGCCCAGCTGTGCTCCAAGAGTCAGACCTTCCAAGTTCCCATTTTTTTTCTGATGTGGTGAAACACACGGGAACAAACTGCCCCTTAGCAGAAGCTTCCAGGTCTTTATTACTGTCCATTACTCTCTTCCTAAATGGTAGAAGGTTCTCTCTAGAATGTTTTTTCCTGTCATCTCTTCATTATTTGAGGTTTCTACTGTTAGAGAAAAAGAAGCTACGAGGGCTGGGAAGGTGGCTCAGTGGTAGAGTGCTTGCCTTGCATGCATGAGGCCCTGGGTTTGATTCCTCAATACCACATAAACAGAAAAAGCCAGAAGTGGTGCTGTGCTCAAGTTCAAGCTCCCGTGACTGACAAAAAAAGAAAGAAAGAAAGAGAATTAAAAAGAGAAAAAGAAGCTATCAGTTACTAAACATTATTCATTATTCATCTCATGTAGCAAGACTCCTGGTTTTCTAAATTTATAGTAATCTCCCAAATCCTCAAATGGATAATGCCCCTCCCAAATGGATAATGCCCCTCTCCCACTTTGGCTTTGTTTATGCTAGGGTCTAGAGTAGATAAGTTCTCCTCTTCCTTCTCCTTTTTCTGCTCCTCCTCCTCTATCTCCTCTTCCTCCTTCTCCTACTCCTCCTTTAACTCTTTTTCCTCCTCCTCATTGTCATGCTCCTCTTTCTTTTCCTCTTCTTTTGTTTTGAGATAGGGTCTTGCTATACAGCACAGGCTGCCCTTGAACTTTCTAGCTATTGCTACTTCAGCCTATCAAATGGATCACAGGCATATGCTACCATACTCTTAAACACCTGAAACTTCACCAATTGGAAAATAAGTTTAAATGTATTTATGAACAGCTTTTGTTTCTAAGTAGAAAAACAAGTATATATTCTTCTTTGTTGTTTTTGTTCTTTTTTTAGTTTTTTCTTATTGTTCTTATTTTTTATTATTAATAAGTTTTTTTATTGTGAAAATACCATAAGAAGGGTTACAATGACATGAGCCAAGGTAATGAGTACATTTCTTATCAAGCATTGTTGCTTCCTCCTTTGTTTCCCCTTCCCATCCCTGCTCTCCGTCTCCCTCCACCCCCCGCAAGTGTATATTCTTATAAATTGTTAGATTATTTTCTTAGAGAGAGCATTTTATAAATGGGTAAGGAAGGACAAAGTATGGATTTATCTCTTGGCTAGCTGGTCATTTTAGGCAAATATAGAAATGGTCTTTACATGCTTGTTACATTTTAAATTATAAGCTATTTATATTATGAAAAGTATTAGAGTGTATTAAGAACACAAATTTTTGAGTTATTTGGCCTGGATTTGAATCCCACTGTTGTCACTTGCCATTTTGTGACCCTAGGGGAGTTCTTTCAGTTGTTTAAGCTCCATTGTCCTTATGTATAAAACAAAAAAATGTATTCAATTCTTCAATCTTCTGTATTAAGGAGTAAATGAGAGAATATATATAGAAGACCATGTACTAAATTATTAGTATGCAAACTAGCTATTTGTCCTTTTACCATAACTGGGACACTACTGAACATAATCACTTCAACTTGTCATTCAGGTTTTACACAAAGCTATAAAGGAAATTTTGACATTAGCTACGGCTTCGGTGAGAGAACATCTAAAAACAGAACATTGACCCAGTGAATTTTCCACCAAATCTTCTCGCACTTTGAAGTGTTACCATCCATCTGTATAAATGATCATTTCTAGGCCAGTGCCTTGGTCCATTTAGCTACCTTCTTCAAATCCATCTTGAACATGTTTCTAGTTCCATTCTGCTCATTTTTTTACTTTAATCTTAGTGTGTGTGTGTGTGTGTGTGTGTGTGTGTGTGTGTGTGTGTGTGTGTGTATTGGGACCTGAACTGAGGGCTTCTTGCATTCTCACTTGGCTTTCTTGCTCAAGGCTGATGCTCTACCATTTGAGCCACACCTTCTTTCCTGCTCACTTTCTTTTTTTGGGGGGGGGGGTTCCCGTCATGGGCCTGAACTCTGGTCCTGGGCGCTGTCCCTCAGCTTTTCAGCTCAAAGCTAGCGCTCTACCACTTGAGCCACAGCACCACTTCTGGCTTTTTTTTCCTTTTTGCTTATGTGGTGCTGAGCAATCGAACCCAGGGCCTCATGCATGCAAGGCAAGCGCTCTACCACTGAGCCACCTCCCAGCCCCTGCTCACTTTCTTATAGTGGTAGTTTAACTAGTACCTTCTCCAAAGCGTTTCTTAAAAGTTGCACTAGGCAAACAATAATTAATAATAATAATAATAATAGAAGTAAAAAAAATCCATGAATAATCCAGGATCTTCCAGAAAGTAGTTCTTAAAAAGAAAGGAAAATTTGCTTTGGAGATTGACACTTTCCCAGTGAATGCAACTCAAGGCAATTCTGTTTATTTCTCTATGTGAACGCTGATGCTCTGTTTCCTTTTCAAGCAGGTGGCCTAGAAGAATCAGCAGTGACAGGGATTGTTGTGGGAGCATTACTAGGGGCTGGTTTGCTAATGGCCTTCTACTTTTTCAGGTATGAATCATTGACAAATCCACTCTCTTTTATTGCTTCTGTCGTTTGTCTTTGCATAATGCTTCAAGTTGCTTGACCACATCTTTTTATTAATGAAGCATGGTGGTCAGCAGATCTAAGCAATTCTTTTGGTGTGATCTCAGATTTGGTGGTCAGTGGGTTAACACAGTGAGTGGGTACTTGGCTCATGAGTTTCTTTTGTACTCCTTGCCACCATCCCCTGTGGGCTAGAGAACTACTACAGTCCTTTGATCACAGATTCTGACAAGAATTCTAACCACCCATTCAATGCATAAGAGGGAATACAGACAAAGGGTAAAAGGCATTTCCCCATCTTCAGACCCCTAGTTCAGAACCAGGTGCTTATGTTTATCATCTTAAAAGATTTGTATTTGGACAGCATAGATGCTTATTTGTACTGTAGCTACACCCTGAAGTTTGTACAATTGTAATCTGTACGTGTGTTAATGATCTGATCGTTCCAAGCTGTCAGGGAGGTCGATTCTTTTGTCATCTTTAGTGGTTGCAGTTGTGGCTTTCTTGGAAATCATCAACTCCAGGTTTCTTTATTTCTGCATGGAAATGTAACTCTGGATATATATGTCCCTTGGTGAGAACAATGGTATTCCTGTTACTTTGGGTCACAGTACTGTTAATCTGATCTTTATCTGAGGCATAGCCTGGGAGTCAGGCAGAACTTCTGGGGACAGAATAGACAAGACTTAACCCACAAGGCACCCAGGGAAGAAGGGAAAGACTTGTTCTGTAGCATTTTGGAAGGCATGCCAATTTTCCTCCTTTAATAAGGACATAACGCCTTGGGGCACTGTACTTTAATCTCTGACCAGGGTTTCATATTCTGTCACTTCTCATTTATCAAACCAAACCCAAGTGTCCCTTGAGGGCATTCTTTGTAAGGGAAACCATAGTATTTTGCAGTCAAGTGAGGTTTTATTACTGCATTCACTCTCCCTTTACCCAGGAAGAAATACAGAATAACCATTGAGCGGAGAAACCAACAAGAAGAAAGTAACATTGGAAAACATCGAGAGCTACGGGAAGATTCCATCAGATCCCATTTTTCAGTCGCCTAAAAGATGCCTTCTTCTCCTTTCGTTTCCTGCTTGAGATTCCTCAAGGAGATAGATGGAATGAAAGACCTCCGGGGAACAGAAGGGGCATTCTTGAAGAATCCTTCCTGTTAAGCAGTTACCATTGTATTCCAAAATTTCTTTAGAAGCTCAGGAACTATTATTAATCACCATCCCTCCTGGTCTTTCATCTCATCACAAGCAAACATAGGCCAGAACATCACGCTCTGTTACATGTCCCTACTACTTGGAAGGTCATATGATTAGATTTATATTTTTAAAAAAATCTGATGTCTCCATATCTGGGTGCCTTGTGGGGACATTGCACACAAGGATATGAACATGTGTTTTCTGAAATTGAATGTTTTGTAGCTAGAATAAAAGTCATTTTTACAAGTAGAATATTCTTGGAAAGAACTTAGCAGCCAATCGGAGGAAAAGGTAATGAAAAGATTCAAGGTTGGAAATTGAACACCATCCTCTGGACAGGTTTGTGGCTGATGAGTGCTCTGGTTGACAGCGACATTCAGATCTGACTTTGTGTCTCAAGAAAGGATCCTCATGTCTTTTTCAGAGTCTCACAAAAGCTACTCTGCAATGTAAATATTAGGAATGGCAGGAGGATTTATATAAGAAAAGTTTAAGGTATTTCTCTTTTTAATGTAAAAAAAAATCAAAGGGCCCTATTTCACGCTAACATTTTATTTTTAAGTATTTTAACCTTATATTTTGGTATTAAAATGTGTCTATTTTTTCATTTCAAAGATTAAATTTCACTTATATTTTAAAAGCATGGGTAACACGTACAACAAACCAGTGACAATGGCAGACACTTCTCTGTGTTTTCCTCTTCACCTCAGCCTTAGCTAGCCACTCACTCATTGCTGCTTTAGTTACAATCAAGAAATGTGTTGAGATCACAAACTCTGAAGTTGAGTTTAAGCCATTTTTTCATTGTTTTAAATGCGAATTCTCTTCAGGCTAGGAGATCCTTTCCTAATTCTGGCCAAATGATAAATTTCAAGACAGTGAAAATAACTGAAAAGGCATAGGTTTATCAGAGGAAGCAGTCCCGTTTCCTCAAGAAGAACCCAATGGTAAGAATTTAATAGTAAGGACAAAGGTTAAAGAATTAAAAGGTGATAGATGAAACTGAAAATCATGGTGATGATCTTGGTTAAAGGAAGGAATCTAACTATTACTATGGGGCTGGGATATAGCTCAGTGGCAAAGTAATTGCCTAGCAAGTACAGTGTCCTGGGTTTAATCACCAGTATCAAAAAAGAAAAGACAAAAAGTGCAGTTAAATACCTACTCTGTCCACTTTCATTCGACCCGACTGAGCTTTATGAGTCATCTACCAACCACCCATGTTAACTATGGGTTTCGGCAAGGTTGGGTAAGCATTTACTGGATGTTTACTTTACACCAAGTGCTGTGCACAGAGATTTAAACTCAGGTTGCCACCTTTACTTATCATCTGTGGGAAAAGCAGGCAGTGAGGGAAGGACAGGAAACCTGTCCAATGCATATGCCATTTTGTAATTATGCCACTAGGATCTGTCTTCAATAACATTTTGAGCACTTGAAGCAATTTTCAAAATCATCTTTGCACCTTTAAAAGGCAGGAATACAGAGGAAAACTAGGGAGTTTGTAGTGTCCCCTGGGAATGATGGGGATTGTAGTTCACACAGGTAATTGTAGAAGGAAATCACAGGAATGCAGCACAGCATATTCTAGAACAGCATATTCTATTCTAGACATTGTCCCATGCTTACTTGCATGAAGGAGACTGCAATCATTACTCAAAGTGAATGGATTATTTCTGTGTAAGGTGAGTTTCCTCTCTGTTGTTTAGAAAATGGGATGCTGGTCACAATAAAGGAAGTAATGATAAGCAACAGAACTAATGCTAGATGCAAAGGAAAAGTACAGTACTGACTTCATAAAAGGGTGCATGAAGAAGGCAAGAAGGGTGAACTCTAGAAATTTTAGTGCTGGAATAGAGCTCAGGAAATAAAAGTGAGGAAAGCAAATGTTTTCTGATTGGAGACTCTCTAAAATAAAAACAGAATGAGAAGGTTATATTAAACCTAATCAGAGAGTTGATTTCTCTCTTATTTTTTTAAATGCTGGTTTCTATATATTTTAGAGGTATTCTTTTTTCCCATCTTGTATTTGTGAAATACATTTGTATTTCAAGTTTAAAAAATGTGTTATTTGTTTGAGAGGAGGGACAGAAAGTGCTCTACTAACATTCTACCCGGTTCTGGTCTTTGGACCTAAACGTTCTAACCTATATAGAATGTATATAATGCCAACACTGTTAGAGCAAATAGCTTTTGTTTCTATGTCATGTAGAAGAATACTTCTAAAATTTAACAATTTTTAGATAAGATTGTAAGAATAAGTAGGAATTTAGTCTTTTAAAAGACAAGTCATGAAATTTCTGTAATATGGATGTAATACTCTTCCATTTTAAATAGAGTTCTTAAGATTGATGGCTATTTACATGTCTTTTGCTTGCCTTTCTAATAGAGTAGGATCTTCATATGAGTCACCAAAACTCTAAAGTTTTAAGAATTTATCGTTAGGAAACTTTTCCTAAAAGTGTGTTTGGCCCAATGTAGCCATGAATTAAGACCTCTTAAGATTGTATTTGGGGATTTAAATTAATAATATTCCAGAAGCTATATATTATGTAATAAAAAATAAGGAGCTACATATTGTAATAAAAATAAGTAGGGCTTTAGTTCTTAAATAATTCTATGAATTTTTAATCCTGAAATCCAATGACACATATAGGTCAAAAAATATATGCCTTTTGAAATTGGAAAGAAGTACAGCTTTTATAATCTTTTTTAAAATAATCATTCTTATGTCTTGGATTTTGGAAGGGGGAAGAAACTCAGAAATTAAGAAACTTCTGTGGAGAGTTCCTATCTCTTCCAGGACAACCACAGGCTTTGCAAGGAAGCTCCCATAAACATTACACTTCTCTAAAGAACCACCAACTTGTGTTTTCCAACATAACTCCACAAGCCTATGGTAGTTCCTTATACTACCGAAGCCATATTTAATAGAGGGATTGGCAAACATATGGAATTAAACAAATGCCTTCTTTCTTCTCTCTTAAATTCAAAGACTTGCTTGACATGCCGTCAGATCTCCCTAGACTTCTCAGAACATTAAATCTTTGCCCTTCATTTACCACTTTTCTTTTGGTGGGGGATGATTTATGGAGGATTTAAGATATACAATGGGTGATGAAAACCAAAGCCATTGTAAACCTCACAGACAGACAGCAATGTGTTCAGAAGCAAGTTCTCTTGGTCCTACCAGCAAAATAGATGTATGGCAGTCTCTTAGGAGACCAAATATAACATCACGCTTACCAGTATTAGGAAACTTAATAACTAGAAGGAATGAGTACCTTTGTTTCTTGGGACACAAGAAATTCAGATCCCAGATGGATGCAACTATAGAGGCAAATGCCAATCAAACTTTGACTGCATCTAGGTACTGTGGGTTTTGTTTAGTTAAACCCTGTGGTTCTTGTTTAGTTAAACCCTGTGGTTCGGGACTTCACAAGGTAAGGAGTTGAATTTCTTGTCTAAAAACAGAGAATGTGTCTTAGGAGCATCATGGAAACAGAGAGAATGAGCTGATGAAGTTCACAGGGGCCAGGTCTCTTTGTTAGTCTTTAAAACCGAAGACTCACCAATAATTGAGTCCTTTTGTCCAACAGCCAGCCCCGGTAAGAAGCGTTAGACATTCTGAGCAACCATGTCTAAAGCATGATCCTCCAAAAGAGATGAAAGAAGGTTGCTTTACAGGCTACGACTGTCTTTACTGCCCTTTCATCCTCCAGCCTTACCCATCATCCATCAAAAAAATGTGTCAGCATCTTGCCAAAGCAAGTGGACACTTGTGAGTAGCCCTCCATATTTTCTCAGAGGAGAAAAATGCAAGATAGTAGAACCAGTTGTAGGAAAGTAGGTGCATTTAAAACAGAGTCCTTACTTGTCCACACAAGCCCTAGGGATAGGTCAACCCTGTGATTTGCATCTACTGCAAAGATCACAGCTTTGGTGATCAGCATGCAGATTCCACAAGTATCTCCTGCAGGCCTAGTCCACAGTTAAGACTCCAGAATTAAAATAACTTTAAAAAGGTGCTGGGTTGGAGTTGGTTCAAATTTCCCTATTAACCACTACTTTTTATTCATACCAAAGGCAAGGAATTCTAAAGCAACTGAGTTTCAATGGGAGCTGAGCCTCAGCAGTAAAACCCATATGGTATGAGCATCCTTTGATGTGTCAAGTACGGGATGGTTCCTAGTGGAGAGATCTGAACAAGTAGAATTAAGAGAGAAACTGTTGCACTGCTTCGATCTACGTTTAAAGACCTCTATTTCGATGCACAAGAAATAAAGAACCCATTTACTAAGTGCAAGTCATAACAGAAGCTACCAAGTGACGTTTTGTTATTTGCTGGGAGAACAAAGGTGTTATAGCATAGAATTGGGGGGGGAGGGCAGATAAAGCCAGAAAGGGCACAATTTGGGCTTAGAAATGGAGTGTCTCCTTTATTAATTAGTGCCACAATATGAAAATGTTCTGTGTGGTAAATTTCAAAAGACAGCAATAAAATACCCACTGGGTAGCACAGAGATACCATGAATTTGTAGGCCTTTGGGGTGGATCCCAGAATCACAGTTTTGTTCCCTGTGCATAATTGAAATAGACAATGTGCAGGATCATTTCTGCAGCCCGTGTCTTCTGCACCATGTTACTGATTGTTAATTTAAATATAGGACGATCAAACAATACAAACCTACCGCGAGTCTGGTAGAAGAGTAAAAGATATGTACAATCTACATACCGTTTATTAATCTAATGTAAGTAGAACTATCTGCATATAATGTGATTTAATTTATTGTTTTTGTGTAGAAAATGAAAATTAATGACTGTGGATATAACCCCTGTTTTGTATAATATATTTTTATTTCTGGTGCAAACTGGTCATTTAAGGTATCTACTCCATTTGGTGTTTGGATATAAATGTGTATGAGTTCTTGTAAATGTTGCTATTAATCAAGAATGCCACATATTCTGAGTATAACAATGTGTTGTCATTAAAATACATCCCACAGAAGACTTTTCCTATTGATATTTCAACTTATAGACGCGGTCGGCATCTACGTACTCTGAGGACTTTCTGTTCTTGTCGAATTGGAAAAAGATCGATTACTGGATATGGTGGATTAAATTGTTGGAATAAAGCCTGGCACTGGTGACTCAAACCTGTAATCTTAGCTACTCAGGAGACTGAGAACTGAGGATAGCAGTTGGAAGCTAGCCAGGACAGGACAGTCCATGAGACTCTTATCTCCAATAAACTACCCAGAAATGGAGTTATGGTTCAAGCAATAGAGCACTATCTCTAGTGAAAGCATCCAGGCCCTGAGTTCAAGCCCCAGCACACACACACACTTTTTTTTTTTAACTTGCAGTAATACCCATGAAAAGACCTAGGAATTTCTTTCCTATAAGAGGAAATTTACATCACAAGAAAATGTTATATTAGGATGAGGGGAAGGGCAAACCTTGAACTGGCTGGTGAAAGAAGAAATCTTCACAAACAATAACTGCTTGACCCATTGAGACTCCACAGCTTGAGACACTCCGTAATTACAGTTGACTTCCTCATTGTCTCATGTTTCATTCCTTATCCATCTCTTCAAAGGGATTCTAAGTCCATCTTGCCTCTCAAAAGAGTTCCCCAGGTTCTAGGGTACTAGACAGAGTCAAGAGTCCCTACCACCTCCAGTTTCCTCTGCTTCACTCTCTGGGAAGTTACTGGTGTTTCTTTGAAGCCTGAAGGAAATATAGCACATTGTATGGCTGCAGCAATGTTTCTCTGGTTCCTCTGGCACCTCTGCCATTGCCAGGGAGTCCCGAGACACAGATGCCACTCATTCAGGGTGACTACATTTGAGTGATTGTGCAGCACGATGCTGATGGGGGAGGGGGGTGGTAAGAGGAGACGTAAAGTGTGGCAGGAGTGAAGGGTGGGGCTGGGAAATGTCTTTCCAGAAAATGGGAATCCATTCCCACCATTTTTCCATGAACCCTTCTGCAACATGGCCTCTGTGAATATATCCTCCATCCTTACCTCTCCAGCCCCCAGGAATGTCACAAATAGCCACTATTTCATGACAGGACCAGGAGGTCTCTCCTAACTGTGAGATGCTGAGGCTCTGTCTCATAAAGGAGTGCATCTCGTGGAGCCTCAAATACCATTGATTGAAGGCTGTGCTTGAACCCTAAACCATGAGCTTCTGGTATTAAACACAAATTCAGAAACTGAAACAGAAATTATTATTTTGGAGAGAATAGTCATGGCTGCATGCCTTTAAAAATGTGCACTTCAATGAAGTATTTACTAGCATCACGCTAAATACTAGAGAAAGAATTCCTTTTGCAGGCCTGTGCACCACCACCAGCTGCTGGGGTCTTGAGGTAAAGGGGATGCAGAAGATGAGCAAAGGGAGGAGGAGCGGGATGGATGTCCTCTGCCTGCTTGCTTCATGCCATTTGCTCCTGGCTCACTTCTGTCATTTTCATTTATATGATGGCACGGTGAAACCAGACTTCCGGGATGCAGAGCCTGCCTCTGACCCTTCAGCTATGAGACTGTGGGGAGAGGACCAGCCCCAACCTCACGGGACTGCTACAAAACAACTGCAGATTTGGAATCCTGCCTGGCACTTTGTGACACATACAACAAAATTGTTATGTTTGCCTGTCTCCTTACAGACCCCTAGTTGGTACATTTTAAGGGCATTTTAAGACAACATGAATCTCTACTGTTCAAAGTCACATCCTTCAGATTTCCTTCTTTTCAAACGGGCTGGAGGACAAATAGTCTGGGCCTTGTGAAAGATGAGAAGACTTCAAAGGGTCTGGATAAGGGTGAAGATGGGGACAGTGATAGTCACATGTTCTCAGGGGACCAGAGCAGTTTCATTCCAGGCTGTGTTCTCTCCGCTGAGTGGCAAGGCCAACACTAGACCATTGGGTCATGTCTGACCTACCTGCCTTCCACCTCCTGCTTCCTTTAGTCTAATGGGAGGATTCTCTCTGGCATTCAGCCCTGGGGAATTGTGATTCCTCAGAGCAAAACTGACCCCCCATGACATAGAGAACTCTCATGTGACCCACAGGGCAGCTTTCCCAATAGTGGCTTCTCTCACTCCCAAGTCTTCCCTGAATATTAGTACTTTCTCCTAAATGTGAGAATAGCATCTCGTTAAGGGTGGTTGTGAGTGAGGAATTTCCCAGTGTAGACCAGAGGAATTCTTACTCCACTGCTACCCTAATGGATCAAAACAGGCCAGGTGTCATGCATCTGGAGGAGAATGCTGCACAGAATGAACCCCTGGATCAGAAATCGCACAGTTCCTGGAGTTATAGGGACCATCTGCCAGGCCCAGGAGCCTCAGGACCAGGACAGAGATGGCCCCAAAGAATCCATTCCATTCCTTCACCGCATGCAGAAACCCATGCCAGGCACCCTCTGGCATTGCATAGAGCAGCTTTGCTGAAGGACCAGCTATACAGGAGGAGATCCAACATCCCTCCTGCAGAAACACCTGGCTAGAATCAAAGGTATTTAATATTTTCAGCCAAACAACCATCCAGAAACTATATCTCAATGAAACTTGCCACCTACCATCACCCATCTACTACTTTAGCCTTGTCTCAGGATTTTATTCAGAAAGAAATGAGTGAGCAGCCATTCCATTCTCAACTTGTTGATACTATGTAATGAGAGATACCTACAAGCTGAGATTCAGCCAAGTACCTTAAATGTATTCATTTACCTAATTCATATGAGGAAGGGCTTTGGTCCTACGACATCGTCAGCTGGAACACAGAGATGTCAATTAATCTTCTCAAAGTCTCAAAAGCCAACGTCAGGCTGTTGGCTCTCAAACGTGGCTACTCCATCCTGCTGAGTCCTGTGGACAGTGGTCAGTCTCCATATTCTGTCAGTGGATCATGAAACAAGTCTCCTAGCCCTTCCCCCGTTTCTAAGCTCTGCCACATCAGCCCTTCTTCTTGTTTATTTTTTATTGTCCAGGTGATTTAAAGTGGAGTTACAGTTACATAACTAAGGTAGTAAGTCTGATTCTTGTCAAACTTGTTACCCCTTCCCTCATTTTTCTCCTACTTCCCCCTGCCCCTGCTTCCCCAAGTAATACAGATCATTTCCAACATGTTGTCTTGTGCATATCACTGTTGCATTGGTTCCCACCTGTCCTTTGTCTCACCATTCTGTTGTTCCCCTTCCCCTCCCTAATTCAAATAAACATATATACAATACCAGAGTACCAGAATCAAATACAGTGACAATCAGCCCTTCTAAAACATTCCATTTGACACTGGGGCTGTCTCGTTCAGTCACCTTGAATGATTCTCAGATTCTATGCTCTGTACTGGTGTCCCCAGGCATATACCTTCAGCTTGAGGTACTCAGGTAATAATCCAGTATTCTCTCGTTGCGGTCATGCTGTGCAGGATTTTACTTATCTAAAATGATTTATTCCTCGCCCACAAAACACTCCCTTACACTTTCCTGCCGGAATGGACATTTTATTCCCATTGTTTACCCTTAGCCTTCTAATCAAGTCTATCTTTCATCGATAGTCATGTCCTAGTTCCTCCATAGTTACCATCCTAGTTGCCAAGGAGCTAGCTACCCAGAAGGCTGAAATCTGAGAACCTCAGTGTGAAACCAGCCCAGCGGAAAAGTTCATGAAACTCCTATCTCCAATTAACCACCCAAGAACTAGAAATGGATCTGTGGCTCAAGTGGTGGCTCAAGTGGTAGAGTACCAACCTTGAGCAAAAAAGCCAAAGGATAGTGCTCAAGCTCTCAGTTCAAGCTCCATAAACAAAATAATCATAATCATAATTAATTGCCAATGAGCTCTGCCTTATTCAAGTTGCTCATGATCTTAAGGGTTATGGATGGGTGGGCTGCAGATACATTTTTTCTGGGAAGCCAGTGTTCAGACAAAAATAGAACATGAATGCCTTTGGATGGGTTAAATACTCTGATTTACCAACCCCTTCACACTCCCAATGTGCTAATATCCAATTTTCTTCAATACTTTATGGCTTACAAATTCTGAGTATACAGTCAATTGGATAAACTTGTAGAATCTGGAGCCATTTTTTTTCCTTCATTCCTTCTCACACTATAATTGCTGGTCTCCAAAGAACTTCCTGGCACTGTAGATCTTTCTATTCTTTTAACTTCTTGGTCAAGTACTGACTTCAAAATATAATGTTTTGCCAGGTGCCGGTGATCAAACCTGTAATCCTAGCTACTCAAGAGGCTGAGACCTGAGGATTGCTATTCAAAGCCAGCCCAGGCAGGAAAGTCTGTGAGACTCTTATCTCCAATAAACCACTGGAAAACCAGAAGTGGCCCAGTGGCTCAAGTGGTAGAGCACTAGCCTTGAGCTGAAGAGCTGAGGGCAGCACCCAGGCCCAGAGTTAACCCCCACGACCAACAAAAAAAATAAATAAAAAATGTTTTCTTGCACTGGGAGAATTATTACTCAAAAGAAACGGCACATTTTTAAAAACATATATCTATTATATCTCTACATGTTTATAACATATATCCATTATATTATGTTTAAGCTTGGTGAAATCAGATTTTCACAAAATTGGTGTATTCTGCACTGGCCTCCCCCAAAAGGGCTGAGATCTTCCATCTTGGCCCTCCCATTCACTAGCAATGTGTCTGTGGCAAACCACAGGCTATACTGAAGACTCATTTTCCTCCTTTGGGCAGTCAGAAGTCTACTCTTTCATGTGGCTTCCAAGCTGCATCTAATATGCATCATACGATCAATAATAGAAACAATCAATGGGAGCTATTATTTTCATGGAAAAATCACACTAACTGTCCTCAATTCCTTGGGCTCTGGTGTCAAGCTTTTCCTATATGGGAGACTCTATTGCTTTATTAGTGTGTGGCCTCAGAGCAGGTATTTATCCTTTCCAATAACTGTCCTCCTGCCACTTCCAAGTATATGAGGCACACACAAGATGGTGGGTAAGGGGCTCCTGGGTCAG